CCCCTCTGCAGTGCTCCCAGTCCTGCCACACATCTCTGCCCTTTGTGTTTCTAAAACCGCCAGCTGCTCCCAGTTCGCCCGGGCGACTCCACTGATCTGGGTTTCCGCCCTGGGGGCTGCCCTAAAGTCCTTTCCCCACTGCTACCAGTCTGCGAGTCTGTGCCCCATCCGCAGCGCGTGAGGCTGTCACCCACCAGCGGTGTAGGATCCCCACAGCCAGGCACCCTCCCGCTGCCATTTATGCTCTGATATCTGCCCACGGAATCAGGGCTCCCCGCTTTGTACCTCAAAACCAACTGCCTGCGATATTCTGTTTGTAGAGATCCAGATCTTCTTACATCTCAGGCTGGTTTCGTGGGTGCTCAGAGTGGTCTGGTAGATATCCAGCTCAATTCCAGGGACCCGTTGAAATAGGGTCCCCTACTCCTCCGCCATCTTTCCCCCCGAATCAGTGTTTTAGTTTCTTAAATGTCTTTAAATCATTTCAGCTTTGACCCAAGAACTTTATAAAATCTAGTTTTTTGGAGGGAAAAAGAAAAGTCTTTGAGCTGGGAGCTATGTTAGAACAAAAAAGGTGAGGAAGCAAAGGGAAATGCAATCCTACCTTAGCCTCATGGCTTCTTCAAGCCATGCCTGAGGAGAGACAAAAACAGAAAACCAAGAAACTGAAGCAGCCCCAAAGGTTCAGCTGTTTGTGCCTTATGACAGTTCACATTTATAATGCTTTTTAACATCAAAATGTGATTATCTGTTAAACAGGGCAGTATTCACAAAAATAAAATTTAACCACCTTAAATTCTTTCTGGAAACGTGTTACATAAATATATTTCAATAAATAAAATGAATTACTAAGCCAATTAGTAATACTTCCTTAGTTGTTTATATAAGCCAGTTAGAGTCTTCCCTGGTTCTTATCCTTATCATGGCACCACAGCTCAACATCTGGTATAGTCTCCTACTTCCTGTCTCTCACAGTTGTGCAGGGATGTGTAGGGACTCTCAGCCCCTGGTCATTATAGAAAAACAAAGCAACACAAAACAACAAGAAGAAACTCCTCTCTCTTCAAACCCACAAATATAGCAGGAATACCCATTTTAGTGAAAACAATCTGTTTGCTACAAGGAAATTTAAAACTAGAACAACAGAATAGAAAAGTAGACTTCTCTGAATCACTTTTTAAAGTTAATCACTATGACCCTCAGTCTCCTCCAAGACTCTTCTTAAAGTGATCCTAGGACTTGTTTGATGAAAATTCAAAAGTTGCTAAAACAAACAAACAAACAAACAAATAAACACTGTCATATAGCTGTCACATTGTTTCTCAAATAAAGGTACAGAAGATTTAGGTGGTACATCAAACGGATATTTTTAATTTGTAAGTTATATATTTTGATAAATATCTATTTATTTTAGAACAAATATAATTGGCATATAAAACTCATAATTTCCACAAATACTATTTCCTAGGACAAGGTTAAAAATTCTGAGTCTCTTTAAAGAAAAATATTAAGTAAACACTGAATATGATAAAAACTGTAAAGGAAACACACAAATGACTGAAGTTTGAGAAATATTGCTTTTATGTTTATTTCAAGTTTATGTGACTAGTTACACCACATCATTGCCTTAATCAATGTTTACATAATTTAAAAACTTTATATCATAAAAGTTACAGGTGAATAATTACAGATTATTGCCTACAAGATTTCTGGTCATTGAAAAAAGTTTTATATCAGATTTGGAACATGACTCTTAATATAATCTTATTTATAAAATAAATTATTTTCACTATTTATAATCTCTCCTGGGAACATGCTAATTTAAGACCTAAATTTATTTAGTTTCTATGTATTAAAAGTTTATTTATAAGCTTTCTCTCTATGAATAATTTGATATTGAATGGGATGAAAAGATCTGACCAAAAGTTTTCCCAGATTTATATATTCATATGATTCCCCCCGCATGAGTTACGTGCTGCTGGGTAAGTGAAGGACTGGGACTTAAGGTTTTCTCACATTTATTATATTCACATAATTTCTCCCGAGTATGGATTTTCCTATGTTGGTTAAGGTGTGCACTCTGGCTAAAGGCTTTCTCACATTCATTACATTTATAGGGTTTCTCTCCTGTATGAGTTCTCTCATGCTGATTAAGATGTGTCCTCTGGCTGAAGGCTTTCCCACAAAAACTACATTCATAAGGTTTCTCTCCGGTATGAAGTCTATGATGTTCAGTAAGGGATGTGATACGGCTAAATGCCTTACCACATTGATTACATTTATAGGGCTTCTCTCCAGTATGAATTCTCAGATGTTGAGTAAAGGATGAATGTTGACGGAAGGCTTTCCCACATTCATTGCATATAAAAGGTTTTTCTCCTGTGTGAATTCTCTGATGTTGAATAAGATGTATCCTCTGGCTGAATCTTTTCCCACATTCATCACACTTATAGGGCTTCTCTCCTGTAAGGACTATGTGAGGTTGAGTAAGAGATGAATTGTGGCTGAAAACCTTTCCACATTCACTGGGTTTCTCTTCAGTGTGAATATGATTAGTAAGAAGAATATGTTGATTGAAGATTTTTCCACACTCATTATATTCATAAGGATTATTTCTTACATAGTTTCCCTGATAGTAAATCAAGTCTGAATTACGTTTGATGCTATTTCCTTGTGTGTCAGAATTAAGGGGTATTTTAATTGAAGGAATTCTCTGATGCATAATAAGGTTTGAGTTCACATTATAGTTTTCTCCAAATCTATTACAGTCATGGCTTCTCTCCTGTGTGATCTTTTTGTGGGTGAAAGATACTTGTGCTAAATGTCTCTGCTGGTTTTCTTGGTTAAACTCTAACTGGTAATCAAAATCCCAGAGTCCTCCCAAGATGGAGTACCAGAAACTATCTCCTGTTAGTCTCTCCATTATCATGTCATGATTTTGATTTTCATCAGAAATATTCCGGTTTGGAGTTGATTTTTTGATTTCAGGTCTACTCTCCCCATCTAAAAGAAATTCAGAACATACAAATATTTTGCCATCTTCTCTGTTTTGAAAAAGCAGATTGTTGCACAATGAATTACCAAGTGAAACTGATCATAATGTGGACAAAGCATATGTGGCATAAGTTTTAAAATATGGCCATGTGGGGCGCCTGGGTGGCTCAGTTGGTTGAGCGACTGCCTTCAGCTCAGGTCATGATCCTGGAGTCCCTGGATCGAGTCCCGCATCGGGCTCCCTGCTCGGCAGGGAGTCTGCTTCGTCCTCTGACCCTATCCCCTCTCATGTGTTCTCTCTCTCTCAAATAAATAAATAAAATCTTCAAAAAAAAATAAATAAAATAAAATATGGCCATGTAACAAGGGAGACTATAATCGTGGAACACTTCATCTAGAACTAATGATGTAATGTATGGGGATTAACATAAGAATAAAAAAAAAAAACAAAAAAACAAGGGAGACTATAAAAGTATGACAGAAAGCAGTGAGCAGGGGGAAATTTTAAAATCTGTATGGTAATCATAAGAGATCATCCAGGAGTACCCATGGTTGAAAGGAAATGGAAAGGAGAATAAGAAATATCAGAGAAAGGTCTGTGCTTAGAGGTGGAAGATATTAGAGGAAAGACTATATTTGGAGAAGACAGGTCCAAGTACACCACCTTATAAATCTCATCTGTGGATTATTCTATTGTAGTGCCAGCTACTTGTTTATTTAGTATTTCTTCTTATTTTTAATCTTTTGTTTAAAATGATAAAATGAATACTTGCTTATAATAACACATTCAAATAATATGGAAATGCATAAAGGAAGAATTTCACCCTTTAGAGGTCATTATTGTTAATAGTTTGGAGCCTGTCTTGCCAGTTTTTTCCTCTGTTCATATAAATATAAATGTAAATCATATTTTGAACAAGCATGAATTGTGATAAAAACAAAACTTCATTTCAGTCCCCTACCACTTCTTTAAACTTAATTTAATGGGGGGCATTCTTATTCTGCTTCTGGAAGAAGATTTGGGCAGGTTCCATGGTTCCCCCTAATTCTTAGATAACAGATACTCCTACTGTTACATTAAGTTACAAACACAGTCTCTATTCAGTAGTTAAAATGTTTAGTCACTTGTTTAATAATCAGAACTCCAAAATTAATCCCTTTTCCCTCCCCTGGGCATCATATTCTTCCTTTCTCCCCACCACCTGCCTCTTTCCCCACCCTACTCTCTTCCTGCTAGTTTTTTCCGTGGCTACTCTTTCACTTCTTTTCCCACTTTAACTATTTCCTTGGCCACCTCTTTCTTCACTCACTAACTGTTGTTTAGTTCCCTTTCTTTTTTTGCGGGGGGGGGGAGGAGCAGAGGGAGAGGGAGAGAGAGAATCTTAAGCAGACTCCACACCTAGCACAGAGCCTGATGTTGGGCTTGATCTCATGACCCTGATATCATGACCTGAGCCAAAATCAACAGTTGGACACTTAACCAACCGAGTCACCCAGGTACCCCGGTTTAGTTCCCTTCTAACAAGAGTTTGAAGGTAGAAGCTATGTGGAGGGAGGGATTAAGAGGCCAATTTTTGTATGACTGGGTAGCTTCCCATTCTCACTTTGGCAGAAGATTAAATAGGACCCACTTTGGGAACTCTTATGACTCTTGGGAGGTTTTAGCTGGACCTCTCTTTCTCCTCTCATTTCAATGATCTGGATAGATAAATCTCTATTTTGGACAGTCCCTTGGGACCATCCCTATAGCAATGAATCCTATTGGACAAGATTGAAGATGTTGGATGACTCATAAACACTCATGACACCTTGTCTTGACAAACTTGGGTAGTACAAACAGATCCTAACTCAACAGTTTCTCCTGGCTCACCTATAAAAGCCATTTCATCAGTCAGCTGTTCTTGGGCCTTGGACTGCTTTAGCTTTATCAAATGTAAGTTATGCACTAGTCTTGGTCTTTCAACCATAAGGAATGCATATAAAAGCTGAGAGTGTTTCCCTTGAAGCTGGCACATATGATTATCATCCTAATTAGGACACTTGACAGTAAAAGGGTGCACCATTAATAATTATGCCAAGAATCATCCTGCAAAAATAAAATGGAATTACACCATAATACTGTTTTGTATTTTTTTTTTTTAAGAGAGAGAGAGAGAGTGGGGGAGGAGCAGAGAGAATCTTAAACACTCAGTGTGGAGCCTCATGTGGGGCTTGGTCTCACAACCCTGAAATCATGACCTGAGCCAAAATCAAGAGGCCGGAACTTAATGGACTGAGCCACGCAGGTGCCCATGTATATTTCTTTTTTTCATTACTGCATATCTTGAACACATTTCCATGTCAACAAATACATTTCCATAATTTTTAAAGGTTGTAAAATATCCAATTTTATGGATGTATCATATAAGTATTTTTAATCAATTCACATTGAGGTTGCATTAGACTTAGTGTTACCGCAAACAGCATGGCAAGAATAGTTAGTTGGCCAAACATGAAATAGAAATTGTAGAAAGAAAAAAGAAAATTGTGAAAACAGATCAATATGCTTAAAGATAAAAAAAAGATACTCAAACAGAACTTACTCTGGTCTAAAATTGTATGTGGAAAAATAGTGATTTAAAAGATTTGTTTTAAACCAATTGACCATTTCAACCAAATTATCAACTGGATCACTTTATTTTCAGCCAAAATTCTTTTGTCTGCCTAGGGACTTTCGCTCTAAAATGTTTAGAATAATTGACTGGAGTTTGAAGACACAACTCCTGCCTAGGAGTAGAATTCAGGGCCTTCATTCCCTATGACCTAGCTTCCAAAACTTTTGTTTGTTTATTCCTGGAAACATGGCAGCTTGATCAACATATTCTTGGCCACTTTGGTGACTGCCTTCTTTCCATGTCTTGTCTCTGAGTGAAAAGGGAAAAGTGCTGCTGGTTGGCAGACTTGCCATCTACTGACACCAGGAGGAGTGACAATGCATGGACTATACAGGCACTGTTCCCCCACTCTGGATACCCTCAAGGCACATCAGATCTTCAATCTCAGGGCTACCTATCTACATCCCAGTGGGATGCCAGGGTATAGAGTCTAGACGCCAGGCTGAGACAGTGATTATCTTGGGCTTTTTGTGAAGAACAAATTCTAATCCATTTGCTCTAGCTCCTTACCTAACCTAAGCCTTCATGTTAGCAGACATGACTGCAACTTACCTTAAAAGGAGCATTGATGAGGATGAACACTTTATCAAGCTATGTATATGAGATCATGTAGAGGTGCTGTTCTCTCATTATCCACTGTCTACTTTCTTCCTGGTTTGGCCTTACCTGGCTAGAAACCCAACCATTCACTGAAGCTCCCAAGTCCTACTTTATACTTCTGCTGAATCAATTCCCTATCACATCTTATATTGCCTACCCCTCTGTTGTCTGAGATTATAGAAAAAGTGCTGCTTGGGAAGAAAGTGTTTTCAGATATGGAAGCAGAAGAGCCTCCTGTGTCTACACTGTGAGAATGACATGAATTCTATTTTGTGCCCAAGTTCTAAATGAAGTGCAATATCTTGGTCACGGCTACAGACTAAGACTCTTTAGCTTATTGCAGGAGTTCATCAGGCTTTCATTATTCTTGCAGGAGCCTAAGGGCTCTACATCAGGAAAAATAGGGGATTTGCACAGACTACTGTAGTCTCAATGTGGTTACTATTTGTCCCCACTGACTCCATATTCCCTGGATCAACTCTTGGGGTTATGAGCTTTTAATAAAATTAGATTTCTAGGGTACCTACACCTCTGACATCCTTTGTAGCTAGGAAGGGATACCTTCTAGATAGGATCTTAGTATAAGCATATTGTGATGCCACTAGGCAACCACAACATCTTGAAGGGCCTTCTGCACTACTGCATACCTCATCTAGTAGACAACTTAGCCTCATCCAATGCCTTTTGAAAGAAATTATTTAGAAATAGGAAGAAAGGAAACAAGAAAGGAAAGAGGAAGGGATAGAAGGAGGGAGAAAAGGAAAGAATTAGGGAGAAGAGGGAGGAAAACATTTTTAAAAGTTTATCCTTTTTTTAAAGATTGTATGTATGTATGTATTTATTTATGAGAGAGAGAGAGAGCACGAGCAGGGAGCCTAATGCGGGCTCAATCCCAGGATGCCAGGATCATGACCTAAGCCGAGGCAGACACTTAACCAACTGAACCACCCAGGCGCCCCAAGCTTATCCTTTCTATGTGTAAAGCACTATAGTATTTCTAGTTCTCTTTTGTTAATTAAAAAAAAAAAGTGCCATGATTTATAGTGGGTTATAAAATTAATTTAGTGGGTAGAACAATAAATTAAAACTGAAACAAAATAGGCTAAAAAAGATTAGAAACTATCAAAGTTCATCAGACATAGCAGTAAGGATAAATGTTGTTTGGTAAGATTTTGTCTCAATTTTATAGATTATACATACCTTATGGGTTGCAATAAAAATGAATTTTTAAATGAGTGGTGGTTATAAATAATTAAAAACTGTTTTGGCAGAGGTCAGTAAGCTCTTTCTGTAAAGGGTCATATAGTAAATATTTAAGGTTTTGTGGGTCATATGGGCTTTATTGTTTACTCAACTCTGCTGTCATAGTGTGAAAGCAGCCACACACAATATGAGTGACGGAGTGAGTGTGGCTGGGTTCCCATAAAATTGTTTACAAAAACATGTGACTGTAGACAATGTTTTGTTCATACAAAGAGTCTACAACACCAAACAGGGTTATCTGGAAAGGGAACCCCCCCTTGATAATCTAAGATATCCTTATGTTGACCGGTGGTTCATCTTATACTAGCAATGTATGAGAGTACTTTCTTCCCTACAGACTTATCAACAGTGTGTGCAGACAAATTTTTGGACTTTTGCTAAACTGATGGATGAGAAAAGGTCACCTGTATTTTCAATTTGTGTTTCTCTTATGAGTGAGGCTGAACATTTTTCCTTATGTTAAATATATTTGTATTCCTTTATCTAGGAACT